TGGAGACGGAGCCTACTGGACATAAGATCGAGGAGAGGAGCAGATGTGGGTTCAGACCACTATCTAGTACAAGGGACTTTCAAGGTGAAGCTGAAAGCCCCGAGGATAGCTGGTGATAGGCCACAATGTAAGTTCAACACTCAAAAACTGAAGGACACAACCACAAAGGACACTTTCACTGCAACTGTTAGAGCAAAGCAGGAAACACTACGCGGCATCACTGAGGAATCATGCGTGGAGGACCATTGGAACTCTCTGAAGGTGATTTTCAACGAAACGTGTTCAACGGTTTTAGGAAGAAAGAAGAGACAAGACAAGGAATGGCTCTCAACGAACACTTGGAAGCTAATAGAGGAGAGGAGAATGGTGAAAGAGAAAATGATTCAATGCAAAGACGGACAAGAGAAAGAGACTCTGAGCACTGGACAAAGAAGTGAAGAAGAGTGCCAGGAAGGACAAAAGACAACTCTACAACAATCTGGCCACTGAAGCTGAGAAGGCAGCAGGCGAAAGGGGCCTGAGGACATTATATCAGATAACCAAGCCTCTATCCGGGAAGAGATCAACTCAAGTGAAACCTATAAAAGACAGCCAAGGGAATCCAATTAACAAGGAAGAAAGACAGATTAAACAATGGGCGGACCACTTCAAAGGACTCTTGAACAGACCACCATTTGCAACCCGTCCAGAAATACCAACAACAGCGCGTACACAACTGCAAGTTGACACCAATCCTCCAACGAAAGCTGAAGTCTTGAATGCAATCAAGCTTCTGAAAGCTGGAAAAGCAGCTGGACCAGATGGAATACCCCCGGAAGCACTGAAAGCGGACCCAGAGACGACAGCAGATATGCTGACTTCATTATTGCAAAAGGTCTGGAAGGAGGGGAAGGTGCCTACTGACTGAAGGAAAGGGTACCTTGTGAAACTACCAAAGAAGGGCGACTTAGGACTCTGCAAGAACTGGCGAGGAATCATGCTCCTGTCGACGCCAAATAAAATTCTGAGTCGCATCATCCTGGAGAGAATAAAGGACGCACTTGATACAGAACTCCGACCAGAACAAGCTGGATTCAGGAAAGGCAAATCATGTTCTGACCAAATTACAACTCTACGCATCATCATCGAACAAAGCATGGAATGGCGATCAAACCTCTACCTCAGCTTTTTATACTTTGAGAAGGCCTTCGAAAGCGTTGACCGCGAAGTAATTTGGAAACTACTCGATTACTACAGCGTACCTCCCCAAATATTTATCAACCTTATTCAACAACTGTACGACAACGGCACATGTCAAGTGATCCACAACGGAAAACTCAGCGAAGCGTTTGGAGTAAACACAGGAGTCAGACAAGGGTGCTTATTATCACCAATGATATTCCTAATTGTGGTGGACTGGATTATGCGTCAGACAGTGGGAAACGAGAAGACAGGGATATCCTGGACCGACGTGAAGAACCTAGAAGACCTGGATTTCGCGGATGATTTATGTTTGATGTCACACAAAATCGAAGACTTACAAGCGAAAACCGACAAACTGGTTGAAGAAGCAGCAAAGACAGGACTCCAGGTGAACATAGACAAAACGGAAGTTATGAAAATAACCAACCAACCAACAACAACAGCATCAGCAACATCCAGTGCCAATCATCATCAACGGGAGGGATTTGAAAGAGGTTACTTCATTCACTTATCTAGGGAGCATTGTCTCAACTACAGGAGGAACGGACGAGGATGTCAAATCGAGAATCGGGAAGGCGAGAAACACATTCATCAACCTGAAACCAATCTGGAAATCTTCATCACTCAACTCAGCATCAACAACAAAATTCGGATTTTCAATACAAACTTCAAGTCAGTTCTTCTATACGGATCAGAAACTTGGCGGGTCACCAAGAATATTTCCAACATGTTGCAGACCTTTATCAACAACCGTCTTCGCTCTATACTGAAGATCAGATGGCCGGAAAGAATCACCAACAAGAAACTCTAAGAACAAACAAAACAAGAACCAATCGCCCAACAAATATGCAGGAGAAAGTGGAGATGGATTGGACACTCTCCGGGGAGGCCGCTGGGTGTGATCGCGCATCAGGCCCTCGAGTGCAACCCGGAAGGAAAGCGGCCAGTAGAACGTCCAAGGGTGACATGGAGGAGATCGTGTGAAGAGGAGCTGAAACAGTATGGACTAACATGGATGCAGGTGAAAAGTACAGCAGAAGACAGAAGCAGGTGGAGACGTGCAGTTGAAATCGTTTGTTCCACTAGGAACCCAAGGGATTAATAATAATAGGCTATTTGTGATAGTCATACAAACTGTAATTCAACTGAATGAAAATCAGTACGCGAAAATTTCCCCTCTCCTCACGCACACACAAACACACACATAACAGTCAGCATAATGTTGATTAGATACTCCACCATCAATGATATCTCTTCAGTTAGTTGACACAGCATCACGGTAATAATTCAGAGGTCACCGACTTGAAATCTATTGCAACCTAGGATATCTACTCTGAATTCTATCATCACTTTACTACTACGTCTTTAATTAAACAATGCAAAACAAAAAGCGGGTTAGACATGATTTTTATTGGATGCAATAAAATCATAAAATTTAGACAGGGTTTGAGAAAGTTCACTATTTTAAAAAAAAATGACCTCTAGTTGTGCATACAGACAAATAAAGGTCATTAGCTATCTCGTGGTGAAAAATACCGTACTATTATTTTCAAGGGGAATCATGTTCTTATGGTGTAGTAGGTAAGACTTCCAATCAATGAAAGCTAATTTTTTTCAAGTTAGTCATGTAGGCATATGAGATCAGAGCAGTCAGAGAATATAACATATTTGACGGTGAAGAGAGGGAAACACAGAGAGAGAGAGAGAGGAAGAGTATCAATTCCAGGTGAGATCAAATAGTTCACGTCAATAAAAACAGACATCATTTCATACGATACATGATACAGGATAAATATATTTATTGAAATTGTAAACAAAAAATGTAGACAAATATTTATTGCGGCTTTTTGTTCATGTAAAAAGTCGTAAAAACAATGATATGACAATAATCCCACCTTATTTTATTAGTTTTTTTTCACTACCAATAGAACGATACTTTTAGTGAGACTGGTTTCTTATCGCATAAATCGTTCATTAAAAACAGATATATAAATGCCACAGTTAAACCTTGATTTTGGCAGAAAATTCGAATTCTAGAGTCAAAGCGGACTGTCTCACATAAAACCACATACGACTCATTGATTCACATGATTAGTTTTATGCCACTCACATCAACTAGTAGTATTTGCCAGCCAGATTAAACCGGGTACACCACTGCTGAGTACAACCCCAAAAGACCAAAACGGCCGCCTGGTGTTTGCATCACTTTGACTTCGCTATTTAACACTACTGGCTGATGTGAGTGGTATCCAAATGCTCATCTCAGTCAATCAGTAGTTCATGGCGTAATCCATTTATGGAGTCAAGCATATCACATGTAGTGATCTGAATAATCTCGGTTTCCAAAGGAGACTGTGGTGGAATAATCACTTCTAACTGTGTTAACAGTGAAATAATTCTGCAATATTATGTACTAATTTGCAAACTGTGCGTCGGTGGCATAGTGATTAGGACGCTCGCCGACCATGCACATGGTCCGGAGTTCGATTCCCGGTCGACACACTCCTTTACCTCGCTAAGCCAGAAATAACGCTGGTGAAGGGGAAAGGTTGGGCATGAGGCTAGCAACCCCATCCTGTAAAATAAGCACTGCTACAGAAACTTCAAGCCACTAGCTTGAAGCCCAATGTTCCACTGGAGAATGTGAAGGAAATAAAAAAAATTTGCAAACTGTGAATTTGTCTGACTGACGTTCAATGTATCATTCCGGTAGTGATGTGAACTGAAGTTCATAGTAATTCGTCATGTTTTAAAGAAGATGTGGGCAGTCACAAGTGCAAATTAAGCGCAACCTTGTATCAGTACTGAAAGGCATAAATGTTGTTACTAATAAACTACAGGGCACCGTCTGATTTTTGTATGAGTCGCACACTAATGACACTATGCTGATAATTTATTTGAATGACTTGGTTAGAGTGTAAAAATTTCAATACATAGGTATGTGTTGAACCGGTGGAAGTCCAAACGGAACCGCGATGCGTGAGGACTAAACCCTCGAATAGAACATTGAAATAATTGAAGCCAACTATCATTTTTATAACGATTCTACTAAAAGTTTTATGATCATCCAACCAGTAAGAGATTCGATGATGATATACGAATTCGAATTCAATCTCCTATGAAATTGAAAACAGTCTTTTGGAGGGTAATATTTGTAATGAAACAGTATTTGTACAAAAGAGGTGGTAGAGAGCCTGATATTCCAATAATGTACAATACTCAATCCGTTAACGAGAGAAGTAGGAAGTGTTGGTGAATTACTTATATTAATAGCTTTTGGACTATGCAGGATACGACTTCACCAAACTTCTCGATTCGATGAGATGAAGCTTCCGAACAGTAATTAACGTATAATCTATTGGAACAAATAATGTCTTAAACATTGTAGAGAAATGGAAATCTATACAAAAGTTAATTCTGACAGATAATACAATATTTCTTAATAAGTATACGTGATTTAGCTAAGGAATAGAGATGCTAAATCAAAGAGTATCAATATCACTGTAATGATCAGCCGTTTTAGGTAATCCTATACATCACGCCATACTGTATGGAATAAAGTCTCAGTGGTTCAGTGATAGAACGCTCATCAACAGCGTGAAAGGTACAGGTTCGACTTCCGGGCAAAAGCACTCCTTAACCTCACCTAGTTTGCTAGCCTGCACTGAAACTAGTAAAAAGGGGAGGTTGGGCGTGAAGCTAGCAATCCCATCACGTCAAAAAGCCAGCACCACCGCCATTGAAAATTCAGAATCTTGGACCGCTAGTTTCACTTGGAACTCAAAGAATGTAAAAATATTCAGGATGAAACTACTTACAGCACAATGTGTAAAACATTCAGTTGGTGGTAGATCACAAGCTATGAAGCACTAAAATATAAACAAAAAGAAACAGAAGATAATTAGGATATATTAACCATCTATTGAAAGATGAACGATGATCATCAAGAACAGTTAAGTTGTAAACACCAATTAACTCCTTTCAGTGTGCAGGTTTCCAAGACCAAAATAATAACTCTCTTGATCCTTTGCAAATAAGATTCATTTTCGAACCAATAGTTTCTGAATACTAAAATGATGAGATGAAAATAGCTTATCAAGTGTTAGTTTGCAGGGATTCGGTTGGTAACAGGTTTGATCAGGAGTTGACATCAGTTAGAGAATCACTGGAAAACCTGGGAATACTGGACGGCTGCTTCACCCTATTTGTGACTCACCAGTGGTAAGTACCCACCACCGGGGTTCGAATCCGGGACCTTCCAGTTACAAGGTGAGCTCGTATACCATTCAGCCACTGGGACCCGACCCAATGGCTGATGAATTCTAATTTTCACCAATTCGTGATCACGACTTCTCACTAAGAATCCAGACAATTTTGTCTTGCAGCTAGTCCCTGGCGAACATCAGATTAATTTTCAAGTGTGAGGATTTGATTTCTTTCAAGTTTGATTATGGACTGGTATTTGTTACAGGACCACTGAAAACCAGTGACAGTTGTTCCGTCCTAGTTTGGGAATCATCTTGGTCTGTCTGAAATATACATGAAATCACCTTCACACCAAGTAAATTTAGTGTTTAAAACAGAACAAATGTCATGTAATAATTTACGTTGTAAATTTTTCTGGAACGTTACGAGCTTGGGTTAGCGAAATAGTTCAAACATTTAGATTGGGAAAGATTTGAAGTTAACTGTTCATGACAGATGTCACTAATAAGCTAAATGCTTGGAACAGCAATTAACTTCGGAAGATCAAGTAGTTTAAACGCCTGAGCAGAAATGAACATGCTGCAAATATCCTGTTGTGGAGTAAATCACTCCGTATATATCACTGATGGCCTTCTACCTCAATGAGAGTGACAACTATCTGAAGAGAGAATCAGTGACTTCCAATTCTCAACGGTATTCAGTAGCAAAAATAGTTGCATGGAAGTGCCTGCTTTTTAAAAAGCACTTCTGTTTAGATAGCATATCTTCAGTCATCAGTACTACAGGCAAAACTGAAATCAGAACATTACTATCAGCATCCCACTAGGTGGTAATTTGAAAGGTTAAGACTTTTGTGAAGTGGTACTGAAATGCATAATAAATAACTTTCAAAAGAAATGAGAAAGAATCATTATTGAAAAACTTCAGCTAAACCTGGTTATAATCAGCATAAGGTAATTTCGCCTGCTCAACTTATTATCTTCTTCATACACTTTTTTAACCAAATTATAACACACCTGTTGTGTGAAAGTTGGTGATACTACCTACCCGGGCAAACTATAGTAGGTGGAACCGGTTTCGAACCCGCGATCCAGTGTTTGGAGATCAGATGGGTAGACCAAAGAGCTATAGCTCTACATTTACAGAACAACTCAAGACATAAAGAAAAAGAGTTTTTCAAGTATTGGTTTTGTAGGGATTGTGTTTGGTTGGTTGGAGGGTTTCATCATGAGCTGACATCAGTTAGAGTTTTGTTTACAACATCAAAAGATATGTGATTACTATGACACCTGCATAAAAACATTATGATCCAAAGTATTTTTCTGGTGTATTAACCAATGTAGTTATTTGGGCTAGGGTGCATAAAAATTTCATATGTCTGTGCGCATTTACTGCCAACCATATGTGTGCTACATATGGTTTACCACCCAAATTCTACCAGTCTAATGTATTAAACATAAAACAGATTTTTCAGAGGGAAAATTTTCGAATCATTTTGATCCTAGAACACACATACAATGAGACGAAGAAAGATCAAAGATAAAGGAACTTTTTTTGAAATTCTTGCTTCATTGTGATAAGAAGCAGTAATATCAGGTAAACAACTGTAAAAAGAAAATGTATCTGCGTACATTACGAATAGTATTTTAGCAAAAACTGAACAGTTGATGGACAAATACCTTTAGTTCTAGGAGAGTGACTTTCGTTCAAGATATTGTTTGCTACCAAAGCGAATATATATATAACAGATACTCATCAAATAATGTCAAAATGTGAAATTTATTATTTTCAAAATTCCACATGGTATTAATTTCTTTCCAGTCGTTTTCTGGTTCGACTTCAGTAATTCCGCTAGTTTGGGAAGCATCGACAGTATGCAACCACTGGGATTCGAACCCAGGGCCTTCCGGTTACAAGGCAAGCTCACATACCATTCAGCCACTGAGACCCAATTCAATGGCCCATGAATTCTAACTTCTACCAATTTGTGATTTTAGCGCGACTACCAACCTATGTCATCGGCTGGAAATCCATCCTCACTCGGACCCCAGTGGCTGAGTAGTATACGAGCTTGCCTTGTAACCGGAAGGTCCCGGATTCGAACCCCGGTGGTGGGTGTGGACCACTGATGGTTCCCGAACTAGGATGAAACAGCCGTCCAGTACTCCCTGGTCTTCAAGTGTTCTCTAACCGATATCAATCCATAGTCAAACTTGAAATACAAATCAAATCCGTACAAGTCAACTATTGAAAGTTCTACTAGTATTTACTACAGAATAGTGCGTCGGTCACTAAACTGTAAAAGGCTCATCAATCATGCACATGGTCCGAATTCGACTCCCGGACAACTCACTCCGGAACCTTCTGCATATTGCTGACTGGTGGTGAGCACCCGAAGTACATCACTACGTCGAAACCAAAACCACTGCTACTGAGACTTAAGGCTTGAAGACCTATGTTCCATAAAGAATGCGAAGAATTCAAAAATTTTTGCTGAATAATGTTTTTAGCATAATTTACTGCTCATAAAAACTAATTTCCACATATGCTTTTGCACTATTCAGTGGAATTTTCATGAGACTTGTAACCATCAGAGCAATAAGGATTTTTATAGTATTCTAACATATTAGAGGTAGCAAAAGTTTCATTTGGAATGTTGAAAACACACCATAATCATGAGTTTCGCATTGATAACCTGAGGTTCTGAAAAGAAAAATCAATAGAGTTTCACTGCCAAGTGAAACTATTCCTAGCACGCCTATAGGCGTCTAATGACTAGTTAAACTTGACTGAAAGTTAAAAATGTTTCAGCTCAACCATTCATAAAATTGTGACCTCACATAAAAAAGGTCTTTGCTACACATCTTCCTCATTCTACACTGATTGTTTGATTCATTGCTTAAGAATCACATGTTTTTGGGAAGACGCGCATGTATTAGAGGTAAGTATTAATGTAGGAAAGGACAGATACATTTTGAAGATTTCCGGATCAAGAATTGCTCAGATTTTCTCTGCAGTATCAATATTTTTGTTTCCAACATTCAAAACGGTCTGCATACTAAAGTGAAATAGGTGGTCATGGCCAGTGATACGACCAGGAACCCGTGATTTAGTCTACTACCTGTTCATCCTGTCGATGTATTTGCCTCCAAGAGAGGGTTGACCGCCTCCTTGATCTTAGAGGATAAGGAATGTATGGTTCCAAACTCCATTGTCTTATTTATATAGCTAATGAGCCACTAGTCTGCTCTCGTTCTCGGGTGAAAGTTCATTACTTTAAGAAACGGTTGTATTACTAGTCTCTGTGTGACGATCTCACCACAGACGATATCGATATATCTTAAGCAGTAGCGTATGATACAAATAATACCTAATCATTACAGTTGCGTAAATGAATAGTGAGATGTTAAAAAAGTCTATCGATAATAAACACAATGGGTGTATGTATAATTCGCTAGTAAGATACAAAGTATAAGAATAAAACTTGTGCACTGTGGTAGAGTGTAATTCCATATTGGGTAAATTTTATTTTGATAAAGTTTCACAGTATTATACAGTAAACATTACTGTATAACACTGTGAAACTTTATCAAAATAAAATTTACCCATAATGGAAGATACAAAGTAGTCTGATAAATAGCTTTATAATCTTAGTGACAGCAATATCATCCTGCAGTTTCCAGTTTCTAGAGAATCTCTCATGTTATTCTCGAAATTTCTTTCACATTAGTCGCTACAGCAACAATATTGTTTACACATAAAACGTCACACTCTCTAGGATACTAAGTTCTATACCTTCCGCTGTAAATACCTTTCTCATTTCCTTTCTATGTAATTTTTTTGAAATTATCTACAGTTTGTGATGCTATAAGAAAGTAATTTTTCTCTATCATTCCAAGAAATGCTTATTACTCATGACTTTTGTCAGATTTTTTCAGTAGTCATTTAGATGGAGAGAATACTTGGTCTTACTCATACTACTTGGTTGTTATTTGAAAAACTAAAAATCGATTGTGGAGCGGTTTTTATGAACTACCTAACTACCTTCCCAGTTAATAATAAAAATTAATGAATAAGCAGGAAAAACTTAGATAAGATGTATAAAAATGTTTTTTTGCCTTAACAACGAAATCGGAGCAAGTAATAAAGTGTCAGCCTGTCTAAAATTGTTAATTCTAAGTCACAAAAATATGTGTGGGCAAGATTAACACTTTAGTTTAGGTATAGGCTGCAAGGATGACATTGAGCTAATACCAATAGCTTTTTTCCCCAGAGTAATTCATTAATTCGGTTGATGCCACACAAAACAAAATTTTTCTAAATAAACTTATGAATCATTAGTTTAACTACCTTCCACTTATGTTACAGAAATCGTATTATGATAAATACAAGCCAATGATACGTACTCCTATTCATAAATCACCACTTTTCTCTACGAATGGAACACTGGGCTTCAAGTTTTCAGATTGGAAGTTTAAAAGCGAGAGGTGTTTATACGGGGTAAGGTTGCTAGTCTCACGCTCAACCTTCCCAATCTTCTGGACGAAGTTGAGGAGTGTGTCAGTGAGTCGGCAATCGAACCTGGGCTTCATAAATGGTTGGTAGGCATCCTACCAACGAACCAAACAAACATATATTCCTATGGCTTAGCATATGTCATGTTCGGTCTACACAATCTCTTGAGGAATGTATATTGTACATTTACTGACTTAATTTTCACTCAAATAGAAGGACAATTTTTATAAGTGAACAGAAAGTATAAATAATTACGTACACTCAAATTTCACTGACAATTAGATGTGTTTCGAGTAAATTGGAGTGAGTGTAGTCTGCATAACAGTAACATCTGTATCTAGTCAACGTCTACTGGGATTTTAATGAAGCAGATTTTCCAACTGATTAATTTATACCATTAAGGAGCTTAGGATAATTAATCCGTATTATATACCAAAGTGATAAAAGAGAGATTAAGGGTTCAACTGGAAAGAAATCCTATTCATAACACTTGATGAAAGGCATATTATCTAGTAAATGGTCTTTAAAATTATCATCACTTACGCTTGAACTACATTTTTCACGTGATTCTTCAAAACACATTGACCAATCCAAATCGTTGAATTTTTCACTCTCCCATTTGTTCTGAATCAAAATTTTAAAAAACATTTAAAAATTAATAACATCAGGCAAAATTTTAGATATATATATAAATATATATTCTACTTCTTGGTTTCCAGTGGTTTTCTAATAACTATTAGTTCATGATCGCACTTAAAAGTAATCAAATCCCTGAAAACAAGTAACTGAATACACCATGAATTTCTAAAAGGGTTGTGTTTAACTGTCGGAAGGCGAATAAACCTCATTCAGCTTCTGTGAAATAGCCTGATGAATGCTTGTACTACGCTAAATTGGTATTTGCTTTGAAATAAATATATTGTAACTAGCCATAGTGAAATTAATACAGTTTAGTTTTTCGCATGTATTGTATGCTTGTTTAACTTTGTGATGCTGTTGTCACGGTGTTCAGTTCTCAAGGGCTTATTTTGATGACAGTTAGCTACTGATTGCAAAGAATACATTTCATCCTATTTTTTCGTGTGAATATCATTACTTCAAGGGATCTCAGTATATCTAGCTAATAGAGTTAGGGATGAAACCAACTCCAGAAACCATCGCCTGTTAACATTGAGATAAATTACACTGGATCAAAAGACATTATCTAGAGTATTCAGTATGGTTTCTGTAAAGCAATAAACTGATTTTTAAAATTCATGGAATTTAATTAACAGTGGTACGTTGTTGGTTTAGTGACAGGATGCTTGCTAACCGCACATGCCGTCTGATTACGATTCCTCACCGACGCAGTCCGAAATCCCGCCTAATTCACAAGATTACAGTGAGTGTTAGTAAACCAGGGAAAGAGGGAAGGTTGGACATGAGGCTCACAACCCTAGTCCATAAAATAGATAACACTAAGCGTACTGAGGCTTCAAAAGTTTTGAAGCCATATGTTTCACTTAGAAAGCAGGCTGTGAGGAAGAAAATTAGCTCTAAATTTACAGAAAAAGTGTGCAAGTACCTTGAAGTTGGAAGAAAAAATTGGGAAAAACAAAAACTAAATAGAAGCAGTTGAATTTAATATTTGTTTGTTAATTAAGTATAGCATTACAGTAGAACAGTAATTTTTAATGAATACACTGACTAACTAAGTTGCAGATAGCAGTAATAAATCCTAATTATAATTAGGCTATTTTCGAAATTTCAACGTCAGGTACCATAAGTGTTTATTTAAACATTCATCAAGTCTCTGGCATAATTTCTTGCAAGTGACCACCCGTAGAGATGGGTTTTACAATTTTTTTAGTTGACTGTTTATTTTTCATGTAATTCAGGGGAACAAAGAAAAGTTTCAGTTGATGAATTAGTTTTATTTCTAAAAAAAAAGAGAGAGAGATGTTGCATTATATCATGCTTTCAGTGTACTTCCTGAAAATCTCCAATTTTCACTAGTAATCACATAATTTGCATAAACAAATTCGCTTCATTATTGAAATGAAAGGAAATATAACCTTTTTGTCACGAATTGATATCATTTTTCATAAAATAAACTTTTGGAAAGAAAAAAGCCATGAGAGGTTTTTCATGTTATTGTGATGTTCTTCACCACTGAGAGAATAGTATGTTTATCAGGTGTTACAGGAAGTCATTAGATTCGAAGTCATCAGCTGGAGATTCGCAGCATTTTCTGGTTTATAATACAGGGAAACTGCAACTCAATATCATAAATGAGAAACTGTCATTCAAATAAGATTTGCTTAGTTGTGGAAAAATATTCTTGGTGTTATTCCTCAACGAGATATATACTGTTTTCTAGCTTTTAGTCTTTAGAATAAGGCCATTTTGTAAAAAATGCAAAGTAGCACACGTTTCAAGATAGCCAACCAGTCAATCATAGTCAGTAACGTTAAATGTAGTCGTGAAGTCGGAAGTAAGCATGAACTAGTAACGCAATTCATCGTCAACCTAGATGACTTAATGACGATAAAAACTGAAAATGTTTATTGTCTTGGATGCATGACAGTTAAACATGTGAACGACAGGAAACTTCTAACACAACTCCCAGAAATTTCTTAAAATCAAAGAAGATACAGGATCCGCTTTCTAAAGTAATTATTTTGAAATATACTCATTTTTCCCAAACAGGCATCAATAATGAGTAACTTTTTTATCATTGATATATCTGTAATACTGCTACATACATAAACAACTTTTTCCGCAGAAAGACTAAATCTGCTATAGATTGTAGCCGAAAATGTGTAATGAGCTAACTTGAACTTTTTCCTGACTAATATCGAATTTCCTTTCACAGTATATGTTTTAAAAAATGCGGATATTCATTGCTGCACTGAAATTCTTGAAGATAAACATCTTTTTTTTTATTATCACTTTAGAGGAGATCAAATTGTTTATGAAAGTTAAATTGGCTTCTTTGCAAAATATTCCACTACGAAATCAGTCAAGAATAAGATAAATGATTTCAGGCAACTTTCCTATTCATCTTCAAACCTTACTAAATATATGTCGTTTATTATTACACTGAAAATTCCTGTGAAACCTCCATCTATGTACGTATTCGTTTTAAAAATAGTCTCCTACTTCAAAGTGCTGCAGAATTAAAGCTCTCACTCTCACTCTTGTTCATTAGGAATGTGAATAGATTTTGGTAAAGCTTACTGAAAAATCACGAAAACTACTTTCAGAGATTTCTATTCAACTAACCTTTGGCAACCTTGACGAAAATGTCAAAGGATACGGAAATGCCTTGTTTATTCCAATGGTAGTAGTTTAATCTAGTAGAAAGCATTGAAGAAATTACTTTGATATCAGTCAATATTCGACAGACTTACCTGGCTGCTTTTAAACCCAGAAAAGAGAAAAGTGGAGCTAGCAACCTTGTGAAAAATAACACAGCTACTACTGAGATTTCAATGCTTGTGTTTGAAACCCTGTGTTCCACTCAGGAAGTAAAGGAATAAAAGAACTATAGACCACAGATCTAGACAGAGCATTGGTTTACGACATTGTGTAGAAAGATTAGAAATCTAGGGGACATTTGAGTGTGATAGTAAGGTCTGGGATCACATACAGTTATTCAGTACAATAGAACTAGAATGACAGTCTTATAAACTAAGAGGAACAAGACTGATAAGTGAAGCATTGTTTATCAAATTAAGACTAAACAAATGCAACAGTTGCTCTAAAGTGATTGGATATTTCCACTCTCCTTATTACCGAGGTAGCTTAAACCTGTTGTTAATGCTGTATTTTCACGATTAACAGTGAGTAGTACTCTACAAACTAAAGATGTATGTTCTATTTTGAAACTTTATTTACATATTCAAAAACACTTGATGAGCATGTTAATTTTTAAGTGGAATAAGAAAAAAGGTCGGTTGATATTGAAATCCCATGAACACTCATAGCATAACGACACAGAATACTTCTACTAAAATGGAAAACCAAATCAAAACAGCTGTTCTGATAGTTTTGTTTTCTTTACTGGTGATAACACATAGTAATACAAGTTATCATCGTTATTGCTTTACTCTTTTTTCTCTCTTTTCTCTGTGCGGAAGTAAAACAAAGGCATCTGCACAACTGTTTCCTTCTTTGTGAGTGACGTGTTTGGAGAGTGGATTAAATTACTTTTCTGTCTTTCGCATATGTCTGTGTATACAAATGTACATGGATGTTTAGGTTGCGTGAAGTGTATGTATGTACAGGATAATAAGAAGGTTCATTGTCTGTTTAATCACAAAAACGTAGAATGTAAGTACTTTACTTACATGACTCTATGCTTTTTAAAGAATCATTTTTATGCTTTACAGAATAAGTGGTAAATGTGACTGTGTATGTGAATGAATATGCTTATACTAATTTGATGACTTCTCAATCTTTAGGTGGTCTCTTCTACTGGAGTGAAGTACAGTTTCTTTTTAGATGACGTGAAGATTATGTTAAGCAGATTTTTTGTACACTTCTATGTACGTGGAGAAAAAATTTATATATATATATATATCGGTGACAAGAAATCCTGCTTTGATGAAGTATAATTTTAGAAGACCTAAGAATGTCAAACAATCTTCTTGAGATTCATCATTTGAAATATTATAGTTTTCAAAATAAAACACTCATTGTTATTCAGACAATTTAAAGATGATTACTATGATTTATACATGAAACGGAAGTGATTTTTAAAAGTGTGAATCAAGATGACAGTAATGTGTACTTTTTTCCCGTAACAATAACAACAACACAATAACATATTCCATTTGCCATAGTTTCGAAAAAATTGAAGATCATGTTTTTAACACTAGTGATCAACAAATAATTCAGTAATTTGCAATTTCTTTAAAAATTCTCCAAACAGACTATGAAGTAAAGACAGAAAACATAAATGGTTGACATAATTGTCTACATCATACTTTTGGGAAATACATTTTTTTTGAAAAATCGGTAGAATATTTATTTGTTCTTAACTAACAGCAGTAGTCTTTTCGCTTTTATTAGTGTAATGCAAATGTTATTACTTTTTCCATATTAAAGATCAGATGGCCAGAAAAAATTAGCAACAAGGAGAACTCTGGTAACGAACTAGCCAAGAGCTTGATGTTCAACAAATATGGTCAAGGGAACAGTGGTGGGTCTGACATACGCTGAGGAGACCCGTTAATTGACACCACGCACCAGGTCTTAGAGTGGAAACTGAATAGGAAACAATGAGTTGTGCTGCCGGAGGTGACTTTGTGGAGGATCGTATGAGGATGAGGAATATGAAAGCTTATGGGGCATTGTGGAGGCAGTTAAACAGAAGTGCATGGAACAGGATGAAATACTGATGTGCTGTTGAAACCCAGGGGAATAATTAATAATATAAATATTACTTTTTATTCCTTTGAATTCTGAGTAGAACATTGAATTTCCAGTGTTTAAAGTTTAAGTGCTTTGATCTGTGGTGTCGGGTTGTTTGCCCCACAACCAGCCTTTTCTCCTTTCCGGACATCTTACTACTGGCTAGGTGAGGTATAGGACTGATTCAGCCGAGGATTCAACCTGGACCGCGTGCCTGGTTATCTCGCATTCTACTGAACAGACTTTACATTATTGTCCAATTTAGGTTAAGTCAGGTTACACAGAGTTTAGTTATTGTCTAGGCAGGTATCTGAAATATATGGAATGAAGTAGGTGTATTTTTTTACAGTCTTTGTTACACACTTTAAAACCATATAAAACGTTAGTTATACTCGTATACACACAAATACTTAAAACATAAGATTATGCATTATGCTAAACCAAGTGGTGAAAATAAACTTTGTATGAAATTAGGAAGATGAAGATGTTGATAATAACAATGACAAATTGTAAGTATAGAATAAATTTACAAATATTAATGCCATCTATGAATTGTATTCATCGCCTATAATGACTGTTGAATCATAAACTTATTAGTAGAGGAATACGTAAAATCTGCTTAGTGAAAACTTATAAAACTGTTTCCTTAGTCATACTTAATGACATTCTTGTCAGGATTCTTGAATAAAAACACACAGTAATACAACTTTAATACCTGAAAGATATTCTGAGCACAATCTTTCACTCATAATGTGAGGGACTTGGTCTAATAATAATGATAATAATAAGCTCTTTTGGATCAGTTTTCATTATCGTAATTACCAGAATTTCTATTATGAAAGCTCCATCAGATTGATAACTTATGCATCCATAATGAAATTTGAGGACATATAGTTCCTGAATAAAAACTTTCTAAGCTGTTCAAATGAAATTAAATACAGTTTATAGATGTATGCATATGTATGATTTTCCTGTCATTTAATGTTGAAGAAGAACTGAAGGGGTGATCACTGAATCCTTTTTCATCCAACCTGCACCTAACAACTACAAGAGAAATGACACAACGCCAATATTACCACCAATACAATCAAAGGATTGGAAATGATGGAATTATATATATATATATATATATATATGAGTGTCTTGATAGGATTATGAGCAATAAGTTATGTTTGTTATTTATTTAAGAACCTATCACGAGGGGAGTGCAGCTAACGCATCAGAAATGAGCAGTCAGAGGGTTTTATTCAGTAGTAACAATAACTTTATCAAATGGTATTATACTCTATCATAGCGCCTAAATTCGACTCTTATATTCTTCTCTGTAATCAAATTAGTTAGGAAATCATTGTTATAAACACTGCATGAATGTGACTGATTTTATCGCCAAACGACATAGGATAAAGAATCACTGAGAACTAGTGTGAACACTGAATAGTTATCTTAACCTGGTTTCGAACCATTCATGAGTACACAAGCACCTATGGTATTATTAGATATAACGCCGAAAACTTCCAGGTTACCATGTTATTAAAACAAAATGACTATGTTGTGCTGTTTGGTTTACAATAACTATCTTACCGATATCCATTCATGACGAAATCTGTCCTGGAATGAAACACTTACGGTAAACTATGTGATTCACCCTTCTGTTTGTCATTAAAAGCTTTGAAACTAAACAAAATAAGCATTTTTACTATTTCAGTTGATGGTGACTAGCAGTGGAATCCAGACAACGCATTTCTTCTCACTTCGGGATGTATGTACCTGCATTGCCAGTAAGTGAAGCCGATTCCTCTGGGACTCGAATCCTGTACCTATCACTTCAGATGCCAGTGCTATTCACTAGGCCTCCAGCCTCACGACAGCGGCCTTCTGTGCAACGGTTATCAATCACTATTCCCCTTTAGGTTGATTTGAAACGATTGGTATCAGGGTTCAAGTCTCACTGGGAATAAAGTTACATTTATCTGACAAGTTCCAAATTAAGCGAAATGCGCATCTTAGATTTCATTGCTAGTCACGATCAACCAAAGCAACATCACATTAATCCTTAAACACCTTCGAAGCATCTCTACTAGGAGTCAGTACAACAACGAAGATCGAACATTTCACTGCAACATATTCAGTCAATAGGTAATACAAATTAACCCCCCCCCCCCAAAAAAAAAAATAATAAGCGTTTTTATTTTACTCAACTATAGGAGTGTTCTGATATACTTCAAGTAAATGATGCAACATTTCATTGATATGTCAGATTACTCTTAAAACTGAAGTTATCTAACATCAACAGATTCACATTCCACAATATTTAAAGTATTATCAATAATTTTACAACTCCTTGTCATTGAATATTTGTCTTCAAATTAGGCAAAGGCAAAACATTATTATTTTTTCTTAAGTAATCTCTAGATTTTCCTTGATTTTTGTCAGTTGAATAATATCGCACCTCAATACATTGGTGTATGTAATTCTAGGCATTTTAACTAACACATGTAATGTAACATTTAAGTTTAAAAAGAAAAACTGAATGTTTCACAGCATATGTTCTTATTATATCATGTTATGATATTTATTTATTTATTCCATCAATGGCATTTCTTTTTTAAATTTTTTTCCTTGTTTCACAAAATCATGCATATCATTGAATGCATATACACTTATGAAATTGATTTCATTGGGGAGGGAGGAGAATGTATGCTTCTTTGTGGGCGTGTATATGTATGTATGACCATAAAGTAATTTGCCAAATGCTAAAACAACTGATAAAATGAGATACTTATGACAAATAGGTAGTTGTATTAATAATAATGGGGTGCATACGAAAGACTAAAAATAGAAATAGGTGAGGAGGAACAACAAAAAGAGAAATTACAAAAGTGTAGCGTGAAAAATTTTGGTTTGCAAAGAAACAAAACTGAGACTGCTGTACTGACTGCCTGGCTGACCTACTGAATGACCGGTTTAGTGTTGTGAAAAGAAAGCCTGTACTAATAGTCATGATGATTATTATATATATATATATACTCGCATTTTTAGCTTAAGTTATGAATAGTCATCACATAGTAACAGAAATATATATAAAGAGGAAAACAGGACATAATTTGAAAAACAATATTAAATAACTGTAAGTGTCAAAATATTTACATGTTATGTACACACACAATATATGATATGCCGATTAGCGTAGATTGTACTTCAATTGAAAATTTAGTCGTAATAACAATGTTTTGCGGAGCAGATGGTACCTTCAAAAGCTAACATATGATAAATCTGAAGTGAGATAATGAACTCGCATAAATTTGTTAAAAAGAAAGTAAAAAGAGGACAGGACTGTTTTCAGAATCAATTCTAGTCGTGACAAATAACTATGTATTTCACACAGTGTTGACTACCTCTCACTCAGAAATGCAGTGTATGTTATACACATAGACTTAGGCACAAAAACTTTAGAAGACCTTCCATGTACTTAGAAATTTGACATTTTCTTAAGTGACTGAAGACGCCCATTAAAAATTTAAAAGAATGACTAATGACCAATGAATATTCTTTTCTATAAATTCGGTATCAGGTTCTACATTTATATGACAGTAAAAATTAAAGAATTATCGTTATTAACAGAACTAATGTTTTAGATTACATTGAAATCAACAGAGTACATTTCAAAAGCATCAGAAAGGGATAATATGCATTAAACCGAACTTCAGATGAATTAGAAAAGTAATACAGAATTTATGGTTTCGACAGTAGGCCAGTGTGACGATAGTGGCTAGCTGGATCCGTTTCTTTTGCACTCAGTGCTGCAGTTTATTAAAGCGAATTGCAATGACCTCTACTGTTTGGAGTTTTCGGTATCTTGAAGCCTTCAGTAACTTATTCCATACCCTATAAATGATAGAGACAGACTCTTCAGTGCTGCTAGCTTTGTAGCTTGTTTGAACAATGTGATCTGATTTAGAGGTGTTTTTGGTTCTAACAACATCTTTATTTAGTCCCACTGGTAGGTGTTCACAAGCAAGAAAAAGTAAGTTCCTCAAGAAACAGCCAAAATAATAGGCTCCATGGAAATAGTTTAATTGACAGACACACTTAGAGGTGTCTAGCCAAGGAACTTCATCTTTCGGTTTCGGAATCACAACCGTTTGTGTGGAAAATATAGTTTGTGGTTTACCGGTATTAAACGTTCTTTGAATCGACTTTCTTCACTTGTTGGTTATTATTTCACTTGGTATATCACCTTCGAATTTTAGTCGCATATACAGGGGCTTCTTGTTAACAGATACAGAAGAATTCTTTTCTATTTTCTTGGCCAAGTGTTTAGTTACGAACTTTCCAGGGTAACTACTTTCAGCTAATACGCTAAAACAACTGATAAAATGAGATACTTATGACAAATAGGTAGTTGTATTAATAATAATGGGGTGCATACGAAAGACTAAAAATAGAAATAGGTAAGGAGGAACAACAAAAAGAGAAATTACAAAAGTGTAGCGTGAAAAATTTTGGTTTGCAAAGAAACAAAACTGAGACTGCTGTACTGACTGCCTGGCTGACCTACTGAATGACCGGTTTAGTGTTGTGAAAAGAAAGCCTGTACTAATAGTCATGATGATTATTATATATATATATATATACTCGCATTTTTAGCTTAAGTTATGAATAGTCATCACATAGTAACAGTTGACATGTCGCATTTTGATTTGATACTAATCAGTGACTAGTGTAGTGTGTCTAGTTCTTTGTTTGCAATATGGTCAGCATTCTAGTGGCATGCCATCATGGTGCACTTTGAATTGTTTATATTAGATGGTTGGAGGCAATCAGCAGGAAGCCTTGGACCTAGTTTTCGTGCTAGCTGACACTCGTCAGCAAGGCGTGTCTGCTGATATGATTCAGTCTGCACCAAAGAAAGGACTAGACACATTACACTATTCACTGACTAGTGTTCAATCAAAGTATCCAATATAGTCCTACAAGTGGTCAGCTGCAAGCCCGAAGAGCTCATTGATAAGGTCCCTGACTTCAGCACTGGGTGATGCGGATTTGAATCTCAGAAAGGACATGAGCTCCTTCAAGCTTGCAGATACGCCCCGCTGACGAGTGCCACCTGGCACGAAACCTGGGTCGACCAAGGCTTCCTGCCGATTGTCTCCAATCATCTAGCATCAATAACTTTTCATTTTCAATCTCATCTTCTGAACAAATAGCTCTGACCCTTTAGCTGAGGGTCTTTGCTTAATTTCTTTAATACCGGAGAGGAACAATGCTGTGTAAATGTGTATATTGACCAGTCCAAGTACTTTTTTGAAACAAATCCCTTTTAATATTGTCATCAGGTCTTCTTGTAAGTATGACGTTTAAAAATGCAATTTTA